TCAGGATTAAGGTGAGGGTTAAGTTTAGGTTTAGGGTTAGGGTTAGGGTCAGGGTTAGGTTTAGGGTTAGGGTTAGTGTTAGGATCATTAATGTGGGCCACCATAACATCAGTAACAGGTCAGTTTGAACCCAAAGACACTAACCTGTCAAAATTCAGTTACATTTTGGCGTCTTTGTTTTTATCCTTGTGGTATCGTGTATAAAAGAGTTGGAGATTTTAGTATCGTGAAAACCTTACCTGCCAAACACCCCGAAACCGTCGTTCTCCAAATGTCCGAGTAACTCCGTTATCTGCCCTTCATGCAAAGCCTCCCTTTTATTTGCACTAATTCAAGACACGTAGGCCAATAATGACAAAAGACGAGCAGGCCGGGGGGAAAAAGCAGGTAATGCCGCTCAGGATTAATTACATCCAGCAGCTGTGAGTCTGTGTTCCACCTCACTGGTGGGAAAACCCTCACAGCCTCAGTCTAATTTAGGATGAATTCCCCCCAAATGCACAAACACAAACAGATTTGAATGATTTTATGATTTTAAACCATTGTTTTCTAAGCCAAAAACACCTCTTTTCTACCTGCACCTGGATGTGAACATCAAACTCCAAAAATGCATTTAATTTAAAGAAATTAACCTTGTGGAATTAATGGAAATACCTAGAAAATGAAAGTCTAACCTATAGGGATGGAAATTGTAAAGAACATTTGAAGAAAAGGCATGAAAACACAAAGGTATCCCTGAGTATCCCTGGAGATCAATAAAGTATATTCAATTCAATTAACCCTTTAAAGCCTGATCCAAGAATAAAACAAAACAGAAAATGACTTTTTTTTGTTTGAATTCCTTATTTGGCCTTTTAACAAAAATATAAAAAGAAAAAACTGAAATAGATTTTTGATATTAATAATTTATTACTATGCGATAAGTCAAGATTATTTTTTGTGTAGTCTTCTGCCCCCTGTTATCAGGTGTATCTGATTGTGTACAATAGGATTTTGAGCAAAGTTTTTACCATTAAATTATGCAAAAGGTGTCAGTCGCAAAACATTTCAGAAACCGTATGAATCAAATATGATACATTTGGCATTATAGGTTTAGGATGAATTTCCCCCAGAAGCACAAACACAAACAGACGCCTCATCAAAACCGACATACAGTCTTTGAATTTGTTCCAAAAATAAAAAAAAATCAGCTCAGTGTGAATCGATTATCCAGGAAAGAAGAAGGATGTTATTGTCTTAAACAGATACAAATGAGACTGAAAGTCCTTTTTTAATACTTAGAAAATACAACTATTAAAAAAGGACTCTCAGTCTCATTTTTATCTGTTAGATCTAACACTTACACTGTGAGGTTGGAGGAATGAATGACCTCCTTTGGTGGTGAGAGTGTGAAATACTCTCTGTGAGGGTGACAATCCTAATATAAGAGGATATTTAAATCATTTTTAACCAGTGTTTTCTAAGCCAAAAACACTTATTTTCTGCCTATGCTCTGTTTCCTGCACCTGGATGTGAGCGTCAAACTCCAAAAATGCATTTGATTTAAAGAAATTAACCTTGTAGAATTAAAGGAAATACCTAGAAAATGAAAGTTTAACCTATAGAGATGGAAATTGTAAAGGACATTTGAAGAAAAAGCATGAAAACACAAAGGTATCACTGATTAACCCTGTAATACCAAATATTTGATACATAAGGTTTCTGAAATGTTTTGCATAATTTAATGGTAAAAACTTTGCTCAAAATCTTATTGTACACAATCAGATACACCTGATAACAGGGGGCAGAAGAATACACAAAACATAATCTTGACTTATCTCATAGTAATAAATGATTAATATTAAAAATGTATTTCTGTTATTTCTTTTTATATATTTTGTAAGGAATTCAAACCAAGAAAAAGAAATTTTCTGTTTGGTTTTGTTCTTGGTTCAGGCTTTAAAGGGTTAAATAGAAGATAATCTTCGATTTAGTCATATAAACTATTCCTTTAACATTTCTTTAGCACCTTCTCTGGCAGATATCAACAGATGAGGAAGTATTCAGGAAACCCAGAGCAAACGAGTAAACTTTTCTTTACCCGTGATAATAAAAAACTCTCTGTTTCAAAT